ACCGTTACACCAAAATGGTTCACTTTGCCCCACGCAGGAAAGAAGTAACAACCATGGAATATACCCGGTTGTTTGTTGACCATGTCTTCCGTTTACACGGTCTACTGGAAGTTATAATATCTGACCGAGATCTGAGATTTACCGGTAAATTCTGGAAAGGTCTGTTTGACTTGCTGGGTACTGATCTCTGGTTTAGTACAACGTTTCATCCTCAGACGGATGGTCAGAGTGAGAGGGCCATACAAACGCTAGAAAACTTCCTACGACCGTATGTTGAACGAGATCCACAACTTTGGGTGAAGCAATTGCCGTTAGCGGAATTCCCTCGAACAACGCTAAAAATGTGGCCACGGGTTATTCGCCGTTTTTCCTTAACTCGGGAAACCATCCAATTTTGCCTACATCGATATTACAAGGACATGGAACCTCCCGAGTAGAAGCTGTACAACAAATGATGGAACGAATGAAGACTGCCCTGGAGGAAGCACAAGCCAACCTTGCCCACGCGCAACGCCGTGCTCAGTATCAGGCGAATAAGTTGCGCCGGGATGAGAGTTATGAGGTTGGTGATGAGGTGCTATTGGCCACGCAGAATTTGAGTATCGACCAGCATCTTCTGTCAAAAATCAGACGACGCTGGGTCGGTCCCTTTCCGATAGTCAGAGTGATTTCTTTAGTGGCTTATGAGTTGCGTCTTCCCTCAGGTTGGAAGATTCATCCAGTCTTCCATGTCTCCAACTTGCGGAGACATGTCTATTCAGAGAGGTTCGCACTGGTGGAGAAGCCACCTCCCCCGATATTAGTTGACGGAGAGGAGGAGTATGAGGTGGAGGCGATTCTGAGGCATAAGGGCACAGGAGCCCGGCGCCTCTATCAGGTCCTCTGGAAAGGTCATCCAGTGAATGAGGCTTCTGGGAGCCTGAATCGCATCTCCGTAATGCTTCCTCCCTCCTAGAGGATTACCTGCGCCGGGTCGCTACATCTGAGCCAAAGCGATCCCGGAAAACAGAAGGAAAACAAAACAAGTGATGGTGTCGCCGGGGAGTTCCGAGTGCCGGTCGTTGATGCGGTGGGATGGTTACAGTTGGTGATGGGGTCTTACGTCTTGGGGGTAATCGCGTTCGGCGCACCAAACCGGACTTGGATCTACAGGTTGCAACTGAGCCATCATACTGGCCGTACATAAGCACATCGTTGGTGCCGGGGGCCTTGTTTCTGTTTGGCCTTTGTATATCATGGGTTTCGTCGGGTTTTTCTTTACTTCACTTGCTCCGTGTCTCGGGACAGCCACTTCCTTATAGGGGGAAGTGATGTTGTGAATTCTGGTGGATCCAGTTTTACTGAAGATTTCACTTCATTTTGTTGTACTGCGATAGTGGGGTGAGATTTGGGTTTACTAGATACACTAGGGGAGTAGTGTGTCTATAATTTGATTAGCTGCTATTTGTAGTAAATGAACACCTGATTATATTTGTGGTTCACGCTTCTAATTGTAACATTCTTTCTGAGTTCCCCGCTCGCTCTCCGCGTGCCCCTCGTGGGCAGGTCCTGGGACGCACCCAATAGGGTGCGCAACAGCCAGCCACACTGAACCCGGCAGCATTTTGCGCCGGCGCCTCAGAATGCACCGCCTCGGCCCACCTCTCCGGCGGCAGCATGGCGTGCACGATGTCGTTGTCCACTGGTGGCCGAAGCACTCCACCGCTGCACCTCACAGGCATGGCCATCCAGGCCATGCAATGTAGTTCGCATGGCCTCCATGGCCACCTCCAAGCCCGCCGTGCCTCCGCCACTCCTGCCACGTAGATGGCGCAGCGTGGCATTTGCCGCTGCTCGCGCCTCACTCGCGGTTCTTTTTGTCAACCGCCGCGCCCCCTGCCGGGCTTGCATACCTCTCTCGGGCGCTGGAGAGAGCGCCCCATGCATTTGGGGGGCTCCGCCTCATGCCGGTGCGACTAGCATCCAGTTGCTCCTCCGCCGGTCTGCATACGGTACACCTGGATACCGAATACACTATGTACTACCCACCAAAACAGAATACAATAATTCTAGACTACAACACTTTTTCAGTGTTGTGCCAAAGTACATCACCGAAGAGGTTAAACAACTTCTTTTTGAGGAGCTGTTTGGCAGTGTGCAAATCCCTTTTTCAGGGGCCAAACATGCACAATTTTCAACCCAATCTTATACATGTTTTTTGGCACGTTTTTGAAAAACGGAGGAAATTCCTTAAACCAACTTCAAAATCAATTCAGGGAATCTAGTTTCTTCTCCAAAAACTGTCCCTACAACTTCTCACAGTCTCACAGCTCCTTTTTTAGGAGTTGTTGGATGATTATACACATCCCTTTTCCAGGGATTCAGTAGTGCATCGATTGTAATCAAGTGTCAAACATGCTTTTCCAGCACGTTTCCTCAAACAGATTCTGAACTTCCGTTTCTTCTTTAGAAACCAATTCGGCAGCCACTCACAATCTCGCAGCTCCTTTTTCAGGAGCAGCACCACTTTTTCAGTGGTAAACACCAAATATTTCTGCCCAATGTCAAGGGCAGCACCACTTTTCCAGTGGCAGCCTCATATAACCACTTTTTCAATGGTAAACACAAACCAATCCCATCCAGTTTCAAGGGTTGCACCAATTTTTCAGTGGCAGCCACTCATTGCCATTTTTTCAGTGGTATACACCAACCAATGCTGTCCTTTTCAAATGACAGCACCACAGTGGTAAAAGTGACTTTTACAGTGTAAAAGTGACTTTTACAGTGGCAAGCAAACTCCAACCACTTTTCCAGTGGCAAATATGACTTGCATCAGGTTAGAGACACCAAAACGATGCACGAGCTAGAAAGACACATCAACTCAGTGCCATGCCGGGGAAAGAGACATCCCGGCATGTTCCTTAAGGCGCATGCCAATAAAATGGGCAACTAGGTGCACAACCCCATAAATGCACAATTGTGTGACCCCATGGCTGGAAAGAGACTTCAGCCAACGGAGCACAATCTCACGCACACACAGACCAGCCATGAACGCTCTAACTGGTCCAGAACTCCTTTTTCAGGAGTTTTTGCTTTTCTTTGTCACTTGCTTAGTGACATTCCCATATTTTCTCCTCCCCTATCACTTATTCAGAGACATTCAGAGCTCCATAATAAACTCAGCGTTTGGGACCATTGAAAAGTGGGCTGGCTGGGCAAAACACCAACACAACCCCATGCTGAGGAAAGATACATCCCAACATGTTTCCTGGGGCCCAAACATCTGAACCATACGGCCCAGAACACAATTCTGTTACCGGTAAATCAGACTCTACCCATAGCTGGAAAGAGACATCAGCATATAGGATCGAATTTGGACCAAAGTGACTTGATGAAACGGCTGGCAATACAGCCACAACACGTACGCTTTCTCCACAATATTCTTTCAGTTGTGAGTGACTGATGAATAAGCGAACACATGCAACCTTAGTATGGGGTAGTCCACCCTGGAAAGAGCCATCAGGTGTGGGCCCATACTTTCGGTCATGCATGGTTCCTTACGACCTTTTTCAAGCCCGCAACCTCTTAGCCTAGGGCGTTTGGCTTTGAGGCTGGACACCCGCCCAAATTGGGTAGTATCCTTATTCAGGACACATAACCCCACCAGAAATTGAGAGCCGCGGTCAATACTGGTGAGGCAGCATTCATTGAAATACTCTTGCTGCATAGGGTTTCGCTCAGTCTTCACCAAGCTCCCCTTGAGGCAAAGACTCCTCTCCATTTTCATGACCAACTTGCTATATTACCAAAAACGCAAGCACTTGACCAATTTTTGTTCCTATTTTTGCTTTTTTTCTTTTTCTAGACGGTGGTGGCATACTCGGGCCATCCCACACAGTCAGCATGCGTGTCAGACGAGAGTCCCTCGCCAGCTGAATCATAAATGACTCACCCAGTGAAACGGTGGTCATTATGCAGCTGCGCGAACAAAACCGCAAAGCATTGCCTAAAAAGCATACTCGGCGAAGAGCAGAAACGGCCCACCGCCAGTGGCATTCCACCAAGGAGTAGGCCTCGGCCTGTGGGCCGCCTTCCAGCGCCTATAGACGGCATAGCGACGCGCGGGAGTCCAGTGCGTCGTGGCGTCGGCGCCCTGTCCCGCAGGTGTGCACCGCAACGCCGGGAAGGAGCCACAGATGGCGGCCCGGGGAATTTGGCCTCAGCATGTCCGGAACACTGCAGCCGAAGGTCCCGTCGGCGCCCTCAATTCGAGAATCGCAAAGATGCCAGACGCTCATTGGAAAGTTTTGCGGCTCTCCTGGCGCTGCTGTGGTAGCGCGGGAGACGCAACATCTTCTGTGGCTCTCCACGGCCAGCGGCGGGTTCCGATGCCGCGCCGCGACGCTCTGTGGCGTTCCGTTGGACAGAGCGACAACGCGCCGCTCTGTGTCCACGCTCGTTCCAGCGGCATGGACACCTTGAGAAGCGAAAATGGCCCTCAGAGGAGATTAGTACTTCGGGATCTACCCTGGGGGGTCGGTGGGTCACCAACGACGCCGTCCCCGCCGAACACCGTGTGGATGGCTTGTCAGCCGATGCCCCATTTCAGCACCATGTCTGAATAGACATCCTCAGGGGTTCCGGTTCAGGTCTCTCGCCCCTACTAGCGACCTCGCACAGCGCCTCGCCCCTTTCTCTCGAGTTTGGAGTCCTTGTGCTGCTGGATCCCCCGACTCCTCGCCGGGCATCCTCGCTTTCGCAAGTGTGTTCCGTTGCTCGCGACGCGCCCGCCAGCCCGCGCGGAGATCTGAGGCCAAGCCGCCGCGCTCGCCTCGGCACGGGCTTTGCGCCGGAGGCTGGCGGGGCGAGGCGGGTGATTCCCTCCTTTCACGGTCGCCCTCGGCCGCGCTTTCGCCAAGTCAAGTGTCGGGGCAAAGGGCCAAGCCCTGCGTCTTGGCGATCCCCTTGGCGTTGTTGTTGGTGCAAGGGCTTCAAGACGTGGGGGATTGGCACCTCACCCCATGGAATCCAACTGTGCATTAGACAGCGGCGAATTTATTCCAGTTATTCCAATTTTGCAAAGGAATAGTTGCGCTGTACCCGTTGAAATGCTTGCAGCACCCGGAAGAAGATCTGCAGCGGGCCTGAATGACCTGAGACCAGCCGATTTCGTCTGCAGTTGTGATTTGGGATTGGAGGGTTTTGCCGATCTACAGGGACTACAGTGCCCAGAGGATTTCATGGCAGATTTCGGCCATGCAGTACGGGCAATGTTGGCATGGGTGTGGATGCACACGTCAATTTTCTGTCGTACAGTGGCTGCCTGGTTTGCGGCTCTTCTTGCCCGGCCGATGGTAGGTACTGGCAGATGTGCTGCTGTTTGACTCGCTTGCTCATTGGACTTGCGGCACATTTGCCCAAGAAGGATGTGCCCTTAGGGGCGGCGCCCGTGGTTAGGGTTTGCCCCGCCCGTTTCCGTGGCACTCTCCATTGTACCCGCCACGAGAAATTTGTCTCGTAGTTTTGATACGTACGGTCTTCCATGCCTTCCGCGATACCCTGGATATCGAAAAATTTTTGTGTCAGACCGTATCCTAGATATGGCGCCCCTGTACGCAGCACGCGGTCGTATCCTGCGTGTGCATGTAGAAGGTGTGGAAATTTTCACAAGGAAGGGGAAACTGGTGATTTCAAGTCCTAGTGTTGACGCTGCCCGCAGGGTACATGGGACTGGAAAACGGACAACGCCGATAGAACATTTTGCTGCCATTCTGGTGAAAATGACACTGCACCTGCTTCCTTTGTGCGCTGCGTGTCTCAGCCCTTCGTTTGCGTACGGGATGCAAGCACCAGTTAGAAGCCACTCGGCACCAAACACCTTTTGTGCAGACTCTCTACTTGACAACTTCGGGACAGTCGAAACTTCGCAATTTGTTGCTGTCGAATTGTCACAGAAACTTCCGAATTGTGCACAACTTCGTGGGTGAAATCTTCTGTGGCATCGTTGGTACTGCGATGGACATATGCCGCTCTAGCCAATTGGCCTTTTTGTTGTGGACGCCCAAATGGGTTATCATCTCTAAAAATCTTCACCACAATCTAATCTGACTGCTCTCAGGGAGACAAGCCAGAGATGGGCGAAGGGGATGATCTTAAGGACGAGGCCAACGCAGCTTTTGCTGCTGAGGACTTTGAGCGCGCCGTGAAGCTGTATTCGCGGTGGGCCTTCTGTCCCGCCTTCAATTGCTGCTGTCGATAATTGCTTTGTTTTGACCCAAACATAGTGCACCGTGTTTACACACTCATGCGTTGGCCGAATCCCAACAGAAGAACATGTGGAGCCGCTGTTGATGCTGTTGCTGATCAGTTTGCAACCACCATCCACTGACATAGATAACCACTTGTATTAGATACTGATATGCGATGTGCTTGCCACAATTGGAAGACCATCAATTTAATGTATGCTCACAGGACACCTTAATTGGTCGGAGGATGGCTTGTCCGGATCTGAGCTCCAGAGCTCAGCGAAATATTGCTGCTCTCTGCGTTCCCAAGGTGCAGATAATGTCTGCGATCCTCACTGAGTGATTACTGCTCCGAAAGCACTGTTGTCATTGGCACTGAAATGTTGTTTGGTGTCCATGCGCATGTGTGTACTGTCTATGCACGCTTTAACAAATACTTACTATCATGCTTGTGCAGTGCATTTGCCTGAAACAAGTGTTGGGTTGACACAGGGGAATCGAAATGGATGACAGCAACCACATCTTGTTCTCGAACCGTAGCGCAGCTTACTCGAAGCTCAAGCGCTTTGAGGAAGCGAAAAGGGACGCGGAGCGCTGCGTTGAACTGAAGAGCGACTGGCCCAAAGGCCTCGCAAGGCTGGCGACGGCGCTTTTCGGGATGCACAGGTGATCATTCCCATAAGACCACACAGCAAGGCCACCCAGCGGGCATCCCTCTGAGCGGCAGTTGCTGGGCACTTTGGCATGCAATGGGCGATGATGTGAACGTGGGATCAAGGGATGTGGCGAGCGGGCAGGATATATTTTGTAAACAGTAATATCATAGCTGCAGTGCAATATTCGCAAAACTCCACCTGCCGGTCGTTGGCGCCACACGATAGTTTCGAATGTGTCGGTTCCAAAATACTTGTCGGAGCGCAGAGGTGTGGGGAGGGCGAATTGGCGCAAATGTCAATAGGGATGCTCCGGGCACACCAGTGTGGATATGAAGTGTGTGTGTGTGTGTGTGTGGCGCAGGGTGGGTCACGCCGAGCGAGCCCTGCATAAGGCACTGGAACTCGACCCCGAAAATGACTTCCTCAAGTCATTCTTGAAAGACATCCTTAGTGCGGATGGCAACCAGGTTGGAGAGTGCACAGGCGTTCGCGCTGCCGCTTCTTTGTTCCAATTGCGATATATCGATGCGACAGAATCGAAAATGGTGCCTGACAATCTTTGCGAAATGTATCATGCAGATACCAAGGAGCCCACCCCTCTTTTGTCGCCCTGCTGTTATTGCTGAAGTCGCGTTTTTTCGCTCTCTAGCGTATTTGCCATCTATGAGCATTCCACACATCTGAATGCAGGCGTCCTTCGTGGCTGCCGTGCTTGCTTGCTTGCTTGCTTGCTTGCTTTTGCTTTTAAATGCGACTCGTTGCGGAATGTGGAATAATGTGTGAATGTCGCTTCCATTTCACAATCAGCATCCGAATGCATGCGTGGCTGAGTCTCGTCGAGTGCATGCCGGGCTGGTGGATTCATGCTGATCGCAAGCGGAGAGGCTTCACATTTTCCCATGGGATAGAAATGTAATCAAAAGGACCGCGTGCCCACCAGAGCGCCAAAAAGGGAATGGACGGCAGCGACCGCGGCCTAAGAGATCTCCAGCAGAGGGCGGGGTACACCCTGGACCCCGGCAAGTGGAAGAATCAAACCGCCGTGGTGGCGTTCCTCGGAGATGTGCGGTCCTTCACGGCCATGTTTCAGCCGGCGGACCTGCTGGCGCGCGAGACGGACCTGCGGATGCCCATACTGACGCTCGTGGTGGCGGGGGCCCAGAGGATGCCGTCGCCCCCACCGCACGTCGACCACAAGGCGGTGGCGCGTCTGCTCATCGACGCCGGCGCAAGGGTGGGCGGTGCGCTGGCCGGGCGCTCCCATTTCGCCCCATTTCTCAGCGTTTTGAGGCCACCACCGAAGCGCAGAACAGCGCACTTTCATGCAATGCGTCGCTCGATCATCCGTGTGCTGCTGCCTTACTGAACAAGCTGCACGCTGCCTGGAAAGTTTGCTCATCAGCACCTTTGAAACACACACGCAAGAGGCAATGCAGCAATTGGGCAATTGCTCAACACATTACCTCGTCCGCACCAAATTGAACAACATTTGTATGCTTGAAGCAGTCTGCTGCTCTACAATCATGTGGCAACAAGGCCCCGTGCGATAAATGTGCCGAAACTGCAGTCTCTGTTTCTTCTCATTGTTCAACAGCACCTCCCTTGCTGCTCGTACAGGGCTTGGGTTTTCCGCGCGTGTAGGACATTTGTCCATGTGCTGTGCGCCTGGGCAGGGCTTGTCGAAGTTTCTGCATACTAATCCGTACATATGGAACCGGTGTGTGCGACCCGTTTGATGGCATTAGCATGAGGACCTCGTGCAAAACTGCAAATTTTGCATCGATGCACTATGTTTAAAGTAATGCGCGAATGCCCTTCGCATTCGATGTCAAACACTCACCATCCTGCAATGCAGAATCTTCAGAATTGGCATGTATGACGAGTCGCTTGCATATCCGATGAGGCGACAGTTTGCGTGTGTGTGTTTTATAGTAGGTAGGCGTGTAGGGGGATTCTACATTGTGTAACCAACGTAAAAATGTGTGGACGTGTGCACAAATACGGGTGCCCACAGTTGCGCTCTATGCAAATTAACGTAAATAACATCAGTACTGAGAACACAACGACTGAGCAAATCTGGCAACTGGCAGCGCCTTGCGGGTGCAATCGCCTTGAATGGCTGCCCTGACAAAGGTATGCCCAAGGCAAACCTCTGGACCACCCTGCTCCTGCAGATCGACGCCAAAGACGCCGCAGGCTACACGGCCCTGATGTATGCATGCGGCCACAACCCGGCGGTGGCACTTGCGGAGATACTCCTGGAAGCGGGTGCGGATCCAAACGTCAAGTCTAGATACGGAACCGTAGCCCTGCACGACGCGGTCATGGGGCAGCAGCTGGACGCCGTGAAGCTCCTGCTCAAGTGAGTCCTTGAATTCGCTTTGGCGTGGCTCGCGCCGCGTGGGCATGCGGTGGGGAAGGAGCGGGCGCCTATGAGTTGTCGGATTCAGGTAGGAACCGGCATGCGTGTGAGTGGGTGTTCATGATGAGCCACTTAATGCCTTCCAGCTCAAATGGACCACGCGAAACAGTCTGGGCAGATTCGGACGCCGCGAGGGGCTCCACGGCGCCGTCTTAATTGTGTGGGCGATGGAAAATGGCGAAGAGAATATGATGGGACTGTGCACATCGTCGCCTTCCGGGCACAAGAGCAGCATTCGCCATACTTGGGCGAAACTGCCCGGGCAGAGCTTCCCCCTCCACGGCATCTGCAGCCGTGCAGGGCGGCGTCTGCATGTGCAATCGCGCCCTAGTGAGTATGTCCTATTTGGGTGGCGGTTTGCCTTCAGGCACGGCGCCAGTGTGCGTGCTGCGGACAATGACGGCGTCACACCACACAAGCTGGCGAGGCACTTCCCGCCAATAGCAGCAGCAATGGCCGCTGCGCGAGGGGGCGCAAGCGATGAGCAGAGAGAGATAACCAACACGAAGGCGCGTGCAGTCTGCCAAGCCTGCGGCAAAGAGAACGCGCACAAGGCTTGCTCCAAGTGCAGGGTTGTGCACTACTGTTCCAGGTGTGCTGCGGCCATTTTCTCCGGCTCGCGCGTTCCCCAAGGATGCCCCCGGTCTCACTTGCGAGGGGCAATATGGCTCATAGCCCCAACGCAGATCCGCGTTTGTGAGTGTTGTCTTTTGCGAGCAATGATCTACGTGTTTCTTCTTGTTTTTGTGCGCCATTGAATCAGTGAACACTGTCAAAGAGCCGTTAACTCGGACGAGGGAGCCTTTAAATGATATGATTACCATAACAGTTGCTCAAACCGAGGGGCAACCTTATGCCGAGCACAATCTGCTTCTAGGAGCCTATGTACTGGATGCGTGTGAACGAGGGCCAGCTGCAAATCAGGCTATATATACAGGCTGCTTGACAGCGGGCCCATCCGGCTGGCAATGTGCCCAACACCTCAAGTTTGGCGACATGACGTCATGGAACCAACAGAAGACTTCCCTGGTTGGTGGTGCACGCATGTGTCCGAATTGCGCCGTGTTCGCCAATATGCCCTTTTTGCGTACAAACTGTCATCCCAGTCGCAGCATCGTCCTTCCTTTGGTACGAATGCCACCACTGGGATCGCTGTGTGGCGGGCCCAGCGGACTGTGTTTGTCGGATAGTCCATGTGACATGTATCGGATAGTCGCATGTGACATGTCCAAGCGCTGGCTTTCCCCCTTTTGAGGCGATGCATGACGCTGCTTGCAAATGCCGAGGGTGTTTCCCAACGGCTTTTGCCTGCTGTGTTGGCCCGCCATGCGCCAGTGCACTTTCCCCCGACGCTTCCGGAGCTGACGCCGACCGACATGAACAGGCAGTGCCAGACATTTCACTGGAAGACGCACAAGAAGGAGTGCGGAAAGGCAGCTGCCCAGACGGGCGAGCTGCGCTTCGAGGTCACGTCGCCACCATGTTCGGCGACTTTCAGCACAGCCAACGTAAGTCGCGCCTTGCAGCACCCCTTGAGGTTAGATTTGATCACGAATTCTTCCAGCGCTCCTCCTTATGCTGGACGTTCAGAACACGACGATTGAGACAACGCTTCAGCTGTTTTGGAGTTCTGGACTGCGCACTTGTTGAACTTGGACTTGGTGGCGAAGGATAAATGTTGATGGCCGCCGGTTCCTGAGGTGGGGTCTGTGGGTCTTGGTGCCAGGCTTCATCGAGTCATTGTGTGGCTCAGTGTTTCGAGCACTTCTAAAACTGCGTTCCTACAAAGAAACCCCCCTCAGGCACATTGGGTTCAAGGCCGGAGTTTTCAGTACTGGGTGTGGTACCCATTCTGCCCTAATTTATGCCAAAGGGCAAGTCATGAAGCAGCTAGTGTTAGGCGAAGAGCATAGTGGCGCCTGATCTTTCTCTAGCCAACCTCCAGTTGAAAACACTGATGAATGTGACCCATACTTGGACTCGCAGGAAATGTGGCAACATGACTCTCAGGGTAGAGCCCGCAGGCAACAATACAGTGGAACCTTGATAAGACACATATCGGATGCCTACACATTTGCTGAGCTTAGGGGCAGAATGCTTGGCTTTGTAATCCTTTTTATGGAGCAAACGCCCCGGTTTCATGAGCACACCCAGAATATTCATACCAAGGCACTCATATCCCCGCGTTCTGGCTCTTCCCCAGTCGATAGTGCGACCGGTACCTATTGTACAGGCTACTTTGCCTCTGAATGAATGGCTTGGACCGATCTCTTTTACTGACTGGCACTGCGCAATGCTCGGCCTCCAGATTGCGTCGTTTCTAATCCCATCGACTACCGCGCCAGAACTCGATATCAGATCCCAGATGAACCCTAGCCGGAGTGATGACAACACCTTCGTTGTGAAGATTCAGCTGCCCCTCCGGGGCACCGACACCACAATGATGGTGTACAACAGGGACAAGAGCTTCAGCGGCCTCATTCCTGGCAACACTGCCGACGGGGAGGAGTTGGCGAAGATCATACGAGAGAAGGGTGTGATGAAGGCCAAGGGCTACTTCGAAGCACATGTGGACCAGCAGACAAAGGAGCTGGTTGTCTTGAAGGGGCGAATGCTGCAGCCGCAGCCATGGTAGCCACACGAGTGTGGGCATGTGCACAAGAAGGGCGTTGTTCGATCGCTGAGCGACTAGGGAGTCCCACTGCCCCTTTCAGAGAATTGGCGTCGAGGTAGTGCCATATCAATGTGGACGAAGGCCATTCAGCACCCACAAGACAAGTCGGCACTGAGGAGATGTAGTAGACCCTGCAGGTCCTGCTGTGGGTTGGGCAGTGAGGAGGAAGGCCAGCCTGAGTGATGGCAGGGATGGAGTCCATTGGATGGACACGTGTGCAATGGATCTGGCATTCCGGAGATTGGATGCTTGTGAAGCATTCTGTGGCGGCAATGCTGCCCAAAATACTGTGGTTTGGTGCATTCGCAAAGCTGACATTGATGAGGCGGATTGTCTTCATTTGATTCAGCTTGTCGGTGCCTTGAATGCAGCGCAGACCTTGGCTTGGGAGGGGGTAGGGCTGGACAACTAGGCGCAGGATTTCAGGGCGTGATGGAGGGGTTGTTGAGCATTTCGGCATCTGGCGCTTCATCGGGAGCAGCTTGCAGGAACACTTGATTTGCTGGTGCCCAGGGCATTTTGGTTGATGCCAGTGTGTTGAAATGGTCTTGAAAGATCAGGCAATAGACGACACATGCAGGCTCTGCTTAATGGAAATGTACCAGAAGGTACGAATCCATAAAACAACTGTGCAACACTATTTCACCCTTGTGGAACTAAAGAGCCTGTGTTCCCTTTGCTTGCCACAAGCCTGGGTGGTCATTTTGACGTTGTTGGATAGAACTTGCTGGCTCGGGGCCGATCCCCAGCTAGCTCCAACAATTTCGGTAAGAGCACAACCTGCGTGGAGGTCATGTTGGGGAGTGCTAGGTGTCCGCATGCCAGCTCCTTGAAAACTGTGACAGCATGGAACAGTACGTAACAATTCGGCACGTTCAATTTGATTCATCCAGGGCCGGAAATGGTGGTGCACCGTCACCTGCTCAGAAACAAAGCGACTCATGATCAGTCCTACAGTCTTTTCGCTCATACATACAGCCTATCTGAAATCATATTGTTGGTGCGCTCTGAACTGGTGATGGGACCTGGCTTTCAGAATCTGTACCTTGGTACTGGCATTAACCAGGTATTCCGCATTGCCCGTGCACTGCCGGTACCCAGGTGCATACCCGTACCCGGCTACCCATGTGCACGGGTTGGCGGGTACCCGGGCAGCTGGGGACATGACATTCTTGTACCCGGGTGCATGGGTCCCATCACCACACCGCACCCCAAGCAAAGCCACAGAAAGGCGCGGCTGCGATCCCAGCCCAAAATAAATCGAAGCGATATTGCGATCCCCCCGGCCCCCCCCCCGTCGGCGCACATCGCCAACGTGACAGCACGCTGGGATACCGCCCCCGTCGGCCGTCCCTGCGACTGTCCCCTGGAGGGCGCACTTACAAAAGCCCCGCCCCCAGCCCTCTACGGCTCGCCTGACCAGCACAGCCCACCCGGCGACCACCGGCCCACAACTCTGCACAGGACCGGGCGATCCGGACGTCGCGCCTGAGGTGAGCGCCGAGAAGGCTCCATTGCCGGCTGCGAGGCTCCGCACCCGCGAACTTCACCGACGGCACATACCCGCGGCGGCGCGGCCCCCCCCTCTCCCATTAATTCCTCCGCCGCCTCCTGCGCCAACGGGGAGTTGCCGAGCGTCCCTCCCCCAAGTTTGCCCCTCCAGACGCCGATCCCACCAAATGTCGATCCCTGCCCCGGTTTACATAACCTAGCCAAACCTGGCCCCCCCCGCCGCCGCACTGACCCTCCCCTTTGTTCCCTCGCAGACACCCTCGCTTCAATCCCCCCTCCGTCGCCCACATGGCAGCATCAATGCCGGCGATCGCCACCAGGGCCCCCATCGCCTCGAAAGGCTCCGCGGCAGCATTCCAGCGCACAGCGCACACCGCGTGGCACCGCGCCGCCCGGCCCGGACTGGCCGGGCGGATGCCCGCGGCCGGCGCGGAGGTGGAGGGCGTGGCAGGCGTGGTGTTCCAGCCCTTCGACGAGGCGGCCGTGCAACTGGCGACGATCGACAAGACGGACAGCGCGGCTGAGTCGTTCGCGCGCTGCGACTTCCACCCTGAGTGCGAGGCGGCGATCAACGAGCAGATCAACGTGGAGTATAACATCTCGTACGTCTACCACGCCATGTTCGCGTTCTTCGACCGGGACAACGTGGGCCTGCCGGGGCTGGCGGAGTTTTTCAAGAACGCCAGCGAGGACGAGCGCGGGCACGCGCAGAAGCTGATGGAGTACCAGAACGTGAGGGGCGGCAGGGTCAAGCTGGGGCCGCTGGTGGTGCCCGAGACCGAGTACAACCACGCCGAGAAGGGGGAGGCGCTGTACGCCATGGAGCTGGCCCTGTCACTGGAGAAGCTCAATTTCCAGAAGCTGAGGCACCTGCACGACGTGGCGGACAAGCACAACGACGCGCAGATGTGCGACTTCGTGGAGGGCCAGCTGCTGGCGGAGCAGGTGGAGGACATCAAAGAGGTGTCCGTTAACGTGAGCCAGCTGCGCCGTGTGGGCAAGGGCCACGGTGTCTACCACTTCGACCAGGAGATCGGCGAGGATGGGGCCTAGGCGCATGGGAATGAGGACCCCCGGTTGGGCGCTGAACTCTGGATTCTGGGCTGTGGCTGTGGTTGCCTTGGGACTGTGGAACGCTGCGAGACAGATATGGCGCCGCCCAGGGAGATAAACAAACCGCCTGAGCTGTCTGCTGAACATTCAGTGTTGGGTTGTGCATGTGGGTATGTGTGTGTGTTTGTTTTTGTGTGTATGTGGTTCCTTTGGACGTCTTGCTCTCCCAACCAGTTGTGGATCATGCTAGGTTTCGCCTGGTGATCATTGGGGAGGCTGTGACTTTCACTTCGCCAGGTTAAGGGCAGCTGTCGTTGGTTTACTTGTCTGTAAACATGTTCGTGCTCGGTCTTGTGGGGAAGAACAGTTTGTAATCTGACTGTTCCATCTCAACGGACGCTGCATGCCGCAGATGCAAGGAACTGGGAGAGAAAGACTCGCACCTAGGAGCTTGCTGCGTCTGTTCCCAGCCATGAAGGCATTCTTTCCTGTCAATCCTATGGCATTCTTGTTCCGCATATCACTGCTTTTTTTTCTCACTGACACCCATATTCTGTTTCAACACACCACTGGAACAGGAGTTTTCAGATGGGTGACAACGTTCAGCCTGTGACAGCCCCCACAGCGCTCTCCAAACCAGGCTGTTGGATACAACAACAAATGCCAGATGATGACAGCACCACAGCAACCACTGTCTTGCAACCCATTTTTCCTTTCCAATTTTTTGGCAGAACCTCACTAACTTCAAAGAAGGAAACTGGAACAGCTCCCAGACCACCACTAACACAATGGGGTGTCAAGCCCCATGGATGGATCCACAGCGAGCACCTGGCACTTGACTGGCTGTGTTCTGGACCTTCCACTTTCAGACAAACTCGGTTGGGACATGAAACAAGGCACAGGCCCGGCAGACTGTGCAGGCAGAACATCGGTATGCCCTATTTTCTTTGGATGGGGAGGGCGCTGGATTCTAGAGGTACAAGCCATTTTTTGGAATTCCATCGCAACCAACGGTCCAATTCAGGGTTGGTGGCCTATTCACACACATTCATCCATCGCAAAACAAACGCGGGAACAAATAACCACCTGCAGTTAGCAGGTGGTTCTACAAACGAGGTGATCGCCTTTCACTTTCAAATCACCAAGGCTTGGGACATGAAAACTGGGCACGAGTTACGCAGCCTGTGCAGGAAGGAACATCGATATGCGATCCGTTTGCTAGATGAGAAGGGTCTTTGGGGATATGGCTCAAAGGAAATCAAACCAAAGTGACAACTGGCTTGCCTCCAGCAGCCAACCAATATCTTGCTGTGAAAGTGGTTGCCAAGGTCTGCAAGTTGCAGCGGCCATCCTGGCTCCAACTAACATGGTGCAGACACCCTTCCAAGCTCATGCACCAATGGTCTTATGTTTTACCCACCCAAAAAGTAGCTCCTTGCCTTCGAGCTAGCAGCACTTGAACTAATGTGTGGCGCCAATTATGCACCAAGTGTTCACATTCTGCAATTTGTAGTCTCCAGTCTGTGATTGATGCACTCTGCTGCGCACCCTGAACATGATGGGCACCTCATATTCTAAATTTCAACAAAGTACGATGCATACAAATCTCTCTATGGCGAGCAGCATCACCAACGTCAACTATACCAACTGTGGTTCAGTAGCTCATACTGGAGGCACGTGACAGAATGTAAACGGCATGCTTGGATACAAGCAACAGCCCATACTCTACTTTAGGTCAGAATAAACCGATGGCCATCGACAGTGAATACGTACACTGTCGTGGGCCTTGCATGATCGGCAAAGAGCGAACAGTTTGTTGTGTATGCCACTTGGTGTGCTGCAGTAGTATGTGCACAGAAAGCAAATAGGCAGACGCCCATAGCACAACTTAGGTGTGCCAATACATCGAAACGCTTGCTGTACCCAGGTGTACCCAATTCCTTCTTTCCGTGGGTTGACAATAGAAATTCTTGCCTGGATGACATCATTTCATCGCCACTTTGCCCAAATGGTAAGCTCCTCAGCAGGTAAGGGAACACTGACTATTGAAGAGCTGCCACCTCGCAGGGCCGGCCAAACGAATGTTCAGATTCTTCCGGCCGGAAAGCTGCCAGATCTTTACCATGCTATGCCATACCCTTGCGCATTATAATGCAACTTTTGATCTTTTTATGCGAAGCAAAACTCAAATCGCCACGGTGCCAAGAAAACGTGAAGCAGCCCTAGCCGCGGCGCGAGGGTCCCTGGAGTGCTCGCGGAGTCTAGCGGCCCCTGATGCACGAGTTGCCGTAGCGATTTTTTTTTTTGAGGCAATATGAACTGAGCGGAGTCGCCATTCCGAGCGCGACCATGATGCGGAGCCCCTCAGAACTAACGGCCTGTCGAAAAAGTGCGGAGCAAAATCCGTAACGTTGAATTTTAAAGGCGGTGGGGTTGGATGTGCTGCGGCAGTACACAAGAGGCAGCACCGGCGATGCGGATTCCATGGCAATTTTGCCACCAAATTGCGACAATTAGGGCGTGGCGGGGCAGAGCTGCGGTGCAGCAACTGCGCCGCAAATCGCCCCTCAAAACAGAGGCCTCCAAGCGGGAAACCGTGGGCGGCCGCAACTGGCGGCGCCCCCGCGCTCGGCACCAACCGCAGCCCTGCCCCCCCTGCAACCCATTCCAACTACCGTTCGGGTTCTATCTCACCACGTGATACCGTGGAAGCATAACGAGCGCGGGGCACGAGGCGGCGAGCAGCGGCAATCACAGGGGCAGGCCCCTTCCTCCTGCGCCGCAAGGCCCGCTGCCGTCTGCCCCAGACAGCCTCCGCTGCCCCTCTCTGCGTCAGGTCCATCGCGAAATGATCGCACCGCCCCGGCCGGCGCTGCGAGCCAAGCGACGCGGCGTTCGTCGGGCCGGGCCGCGGGGGTCCCTGTCGCCGGCCCGATCCCTTGGAGCCGCCGTCCCGTGGCGCTCGGGATAGCACACTCAACGCGGCTGCGGACCAGATGGCGGGCCCCGTGGGGGATCCTTTCAAAGCGCCCCGCCTCCCCTTTCCCCCCTTTTCCACCCACTTGCGCGGGACGCGACGCCGAGCCCGACCGAGGCATGCCAGCGCCGATCAACTGCGCCAGCAGACAGCTGGCGCAATCTCTCCCCCACACTGAGACCCCGGGCGATGCCCGCCGCGAGGCTGCCGCGCCGATTCACTTAAATCGATGCCACCGCAGCTGGCATGGACAACCAAAACCCAGCTCCCCCCCACCATCCCCCCCTTTTTGTACACCACCCACCAGCGCCCTCAGCCCGCCCTCCAGCCGCAAGCTCCCTCCACCACCGCCGTCGCCGGTCGCCGTGAGCCCCTCGGCGCCGCGCTGGCGCGCGGGCGCTGCCGCCAGGCGTTTGCTTGTCTGAGCCGGTGCGGTGGAGAAGTACGAGAGGGGGCAGGCCCGGGGCGGAGGGGCACGCGCCAGGAGCGTGCCCGGAGTGCGCCAGCCCCCCACTGGCTGACACACCGGTGTGTCAGCGCGGGGGAGGGTAAAGTACTGGCGTTGTCTGGAGTTCCGTTCAGGTAACCTGGCTTGGGGTGTCTGTGCATTGGCGTCCTGTTCGACCTCACGCCCAGCGACCGCACTCTGCACCCCACTGCCGCATTCATTGCCAATGACGTCGCTGTTTGGGTGCCGCAAGCACGCCTCCAGGGCAGTTGGAAGACGAATGGGGAATACTTTGGATTTGGAATTTCTACAGCATATTATTGTTTATTTATTTGTGGGCACATGCAGCATGCGTGACACCTGAATTTATCAGAGAACAGCGGAATTGAGTCAGGCGGATGCAATCACATAATTTGCACACTTCTCGGCACTACCTCATCCCAACCTGTGGGGGGACCGTGTACCTGAGGCCAAATTTCCACCCAGGCCAGTGCGCAGGGCGCGTGGCGCCTGTGGATCGTCTCGTGGGGGTCCACCGCATTGGCCACCGCCCGCGCAGCCGAGAGGGAATGGCTCCGAACTTGGTGACCGGCGACGGCGACCTTCCGAAAGTGGTCCTGCGCTGCGGGGATGAGCCAGGGGTGAGCGGCAGCGGCGCCTTGCAGAGGCCGGACGTGCGTTTGGAAAGATCCGCGCAACGGAGGATTGGAACCCGCGGCAACCCATTGCTTGGCAATTTTGGGCCCGGAGGGTTATGGGCGGCCCAGAGGACCATTTGGGCGGTGTTTCTGCAGTATCAGCGTTCGTTTCTGCTGTTTGAGTTGCGGAAGGCCTGTTATTCCTTGTGGTATCGGAATGCATCGGTTCGATGTCGCGCGGCGAACGGATCGCGGGCGCCGGGGGCGCGAGATCAGAGGGGACGCGGCCGAGGCGACTGCTGACGGCGGCACCGTGCGCAGGGGGACAAGGCGGAGGTGTACCTGCACGGCGCGCACGTCACGTCTTGGATCCCTGAGGCGACGGGCAAGGTGAGGGCAGTTGAACGGGCCGGCCCTTGCGCCCCGGTTTCCGCGTTTCCGTTCCGAGTGCGCGGCGGGTTGGCGCCAGCGCTGGGGCTGGCGCTGTGGGTGCTTGATGTGGACTTTGGGTTGTGCGGCGTGTCGGAAGATCTGTAGGCTCAGGTGCGGTGCACACGCCATGCCGGTCCCCTTCTCGTTCCTCGATCACCTCCACACCGGTTGTGGTGGAATCAACTATTTTGTGCCTTGTCTCCTGCGATCAGAAAATGGATGTCTGACAGCGGGCAATCTCCTTTCGAACGAGATTGCCCAGGCCATGTGCCGATTGGGGGACACATTGTTCTCAACCAAGCGCACGATCTATGCCCACTGTTCCTTCACAGCACGTGCTTGTGCATCATGAGCTTGACATCCCGCGGCCCAACCATCGACCCCGACGTGCCAGGCTGCGAATCTGGCAACAACAGTGGTCACATTTTGTTTCCATTTGTTTCCACAGTTGTTGTCTTGAGTCACTTCACCTTTCCTTACTTGATATTGAAGCCCAGCCAAACTCATTTCCAAAAGTCGTTGGTCGCTGTATGGGAGTGACCATGCGGCCCCATTGTCGTGCTGAGCTCCTCATTCTTCTTGAGTTCCAACTCAATATCTTTGTTTGCTGCCAGATTCTGCACCAAGCAGGGTCAACATGGGTCATGTTGTGTTGCAAAGTGTAGGGACGAGAGCAGAAACCGTAGCGAACAATGCGAATCCCCATATGCAGCAAGAAATTTGAGACTCTTGTTCTCATTGCATAGATCATGTGGGCATATCTAGGCATGGAAACACGCAGTATCCATAGTGCAACAGCAACCTCTGCTGTGGCCATCTTTCCCTGGCAGAACCTCATCGACCAGGCTCAAGCATCAAACTTGGCAGAGCTATGTCCAACAAGAATAGCAGTGCTGTAATCATGACTTGGGGCGTTCCCTGAGTTCGCCTTGCGTGTCTGTGGTGTTCCCAGGAGATGATCTTTGTGAGCAAGGATGCCATATTCAAACCACCCAAGGCCATCAGGTGGGCCCAGCATGCTGGATAAATGCTCTTTTGGTTATTTGCACAATCGGGCTGCATTGTGTATATGATTTTTACTCATAAAGATCTGTTTACGTTGTCTGCTGCTGTCAACATTGTTGAGTTCTGCCCAGGCCCCTCCAAGGCAACCAAGGCACTTCTTTGTGTTGTGCCCCACATCGCTATGTGATCCTCCACTTCAGCTGTGTGCCACTTTTCTCCTAAGTTAGTATTGTGTGCTTGTTGAGCTCTGACTAGCACATCAACTGGCAGCCATTCCATGTCCATCCGGCTTCAAAATTGATGCAACAGTTTGCTGTTCCCTCTTGGCGCAGAGGAGGTGTGCCCGTCTGCTTCCCCCAGTTCAGTGACATGGGCCCACTTGGAGCACATGGTTTTGCCCGAAACTCAGCCTTCGAGGTTCAAGATGGAGAGTCTGATCAGGTCACCCTTGCTCTCAGACCATCAGAGGAAGACTTGGAAAGATGGCCCCAAAAGTTTGAGCTGAGGATCACAGTGGCCCTGTCGCCTGGTTGCTTGACCCAAACTATGGAGGTGCAGAACATGGGCTCGTCTGCTATGGAGTTCACCTGTGCCCTCCACACCTATTTTCGTGTTGAAGATGTGACCAATGCGCAAGTCAAGGGCCTCCGGGGACTGACATACTTGGACAACCTTCAGAGTCGAGAAAGATTCACAGAGGCCAACGCGTGCGTTGAGTTTTCAGGCGAGGTTGATCGTATCTATTGTGGTGCACCAGACACAATAGACCTTGTGGACGGCGCAGCTGGGCACAGTGTTGTGATAGAGAAGACTGGGTTCCCTGATGCTGTAGTGTGGAACCCCTGGGTGGATAAAGCAGCATCCTTGAAAGATTTTGGTGATGAAGAGTACAAAGAGATGGTGTGCATTGAACCGGCAGTGGCGGGGAGCGATCCCATAAGTCTGGACGCAGGAAAGATGTGGACTGCTGTCCAGAAGTTCATGACGAGATAGTTGTCTCTTGCTGATCAGCATCGGCTTCAATTTCTGGCTGGACCACTGTGAATATAGATGGGCGTTCAAGATTGGGGGCAAGAACCATCTCCGCCATTGATCTTTGGTTTGTGGACACCTCCTCTTCACCTCTGTTGAGCGCTAGCAAGGCACTGATTGCTGCTGGCTGCTGAGCGATCAAAAGGCTGAGGAGAGGACGCTCAAAGGATGTTATCAGCATGAACCAAGCCGTCCTTTGGTGCATAATTTCTAAAAGCTGGTCGCATGGAGTGCAGGTGCATCTGGGCAGGATGCCATGTCAGCTGCAAGCCATAGACACAAGCTGCTGATGAAATGCCGCAGTTTTGATCACTTTTGCATGTGCCATGGGCAGGATTGATGCGGAGAAATAGAGGGGTGGTGCAAAGAGGTGGCCAGACATCAGCAGCACTAGGAGTTTCCCATTTCTGCTGCGACAGCTCAAGATTCTTACATTCTTGTAGCAGCAGGATACCTTATGAATGACAGCGTTGTTTCGTTGCAGCGTGTTCTGGCAGAACGGGCTGGAACATCTGTGGTCAGATCGCAGCTGCAGCAGCAGCAACAGTGAAATGTTTCCTGGCCAAAAATGTCTAAGCGGGCATGTGTGAATAGCCATTCGTGCACATGCAGGGCTGTGGCACTGTGTTTGGGGTTAGGCATGACAAAACTGGCTGGGACGAGTCGTACGCAACCCGCTTGTTGGTTTCAGGTGAAAACAGCCTTCGAACCGTTGTCATTCAGAGCTGCACAAGCCAAGGGTGCTGTGTACCAATTTACTGTGTACCATCAGAGTCCAGTAGCGGAAAAGCTCTAGTTGCTGGAATAGAATGGCACTCACCTGGCATGGCGCTGTGAAACAAACGCCCTGCTGCGAAATGGCCACAATATCATTTGCGCTCATATTTGATAGATTTAAAGTCGTAGCTGTTCTGCTGGTTCCCAAAATTCTCACAATGTGCTCCCGTTACTATGTGGCAAGAAACATTTGTATCGTTATTTCCAATGAAAGGGTGGCCACCGAAGCCTTAAGGGACCACAGCATGTCCTTTGTGATATGCATAGAGTCAAACTGACGACTGGGTCGGGGCGGGGGCCAGAACTGTGGCACTATGAATGCACTCCATAATTGCTACAAGTCGATGCAAGTTGGAAGAGGCCAAACTCCCATGGTCAGCTCCACTCGAGTAATGGCATGTTGAAGCTCCTCCCCAAGGCTTTCAATCATGAAGGAGGACCGCAAATTTGCGGTCCTTTAAAGGTATCAATTGACAGCTTCCAGGGTTCCCTCACCGCCTGCCATCGCCTGAGGCATCATGTTTTTCAGCCTTCCATGATCGCTGCAGTGCTAGCTGTCTGCCTTCCTTGAAGACTTATTGATATTGCGTTGCTGTATCAAGTAATGCCGCTGGGTATTCATTTGCGTCGACGTGAGGACTGACGCTGAGCGTGCTAAGATTGATATACTTTGGCATTCATTATATACCACTTAAATTGAAAGGAACCTGAAAGGTACTCGCCCCGTGACAATTCGATTGATTATTTCTTCTGTTCAATGCATGCAATTAATAGCTGCCGTGGTTTGCTATGAAACCTCTCAAAGTCCAATCCGGATTCCTAACTCAGGACCTTTGAAAATGGTCTATTGCACTCAGTGCGCTATTGGGAGGCATGCAGTGTGTCACTGCTGTGCGGGAATATTCGGCGTATGTGTCTATTCGCAATAGCAGACATGATGCGCCAGCGGACTGCTAGGTTCAGGCGCTCATGCATGGCCACGAGCTTGGGGGACTGGGCGGGGCGGGGCGGGGGCGGTTGGGGTGGGGGTAAGCAGAAACCAAAAAAGGCCCAGCGAGCTCGCCCTAGCTCGCCAGCGGTGTGGGGCGGGGGCGCCTGCCATGGTTGTATCGGAAAGAACACGAACCAAGCTGACACAAAACTATGCACAACTGTAGATTAGCATTAACCGTAGCTGAAAGCCTAAAGAGTTTTTCGGGACCGTTGGCAATCGTTACAACTAGGTAACATAGCCAGAAGGTACACATTGCATTCCACCACACTTGGGCACATATACTCGCATTGCGAATGTTAAACAACAAGGGACATAAACTTCATCAGTTCTGAGCAAAAAACACCCTTTAAAAGCAAGAAAGAGAATCACATTGGCAACCACTCGGGAGGCAACTTGAGGTGTTTCCATAGCCAAAGAAGTTTGGGGAACCATGATATCACAAGCGCGTTGTAACTTGTGCAGCTGACCATGGGGCCCCAGCAGCCGGCGATGTGGGTGGGCGGGGCACAAAAGTTTCTGCCATCGCGTTCCTACAACTGGGGTGCACGCTCGCTCCAGGAATTAAATGGCAACAGAAAGACTGTACCAGAGGTGAAGAAATTGAGGTGTATGTATGCAAATGCACACATACAGAGAGTGAGAGTGGGTGCGGAGCAGGGCGCTTAATGGATGCCTATTGCTTTGGCCTGGTCATTTTGCTCATTGACCAGGGTGGCAGGTTTGAGACAAAGCAACAGGTCAGCAAGACAACAAAACACAAGACAATGACGAAATTGGCAATGTCTCACTGATCACTGGTCCATATACAACGCATCTTCACCTTAGGCACACAAAGTACAAACAACTTTGCAACAGATGGCTGATGCTTGGACGATCAGTACTTAACCCTCAACGATCTGTGCCTCCACTAACTTCAGTCAGGCCTAGCACTCAGGCAGGTCAAGGACCCAGCTTGTTCCACGTTCTCACCCTTGGTGCCAGCCAGGAACACACCCACAGGCACCCCACAAGCAACTCCCAGGCACTGGTGACCACACAGCACAATACAGCACAACACAGCACAGGACAACTCACTGGAACGCTACGCGACACTCGCTCGTGCTCGATGGTAGGCGTCTAGTCACGTCACGCGGCCAATGGTCGCGCAACCAGACATCGATCATGATACGGTTGCTTTGTAGATGTAGTAAATGGGAACATTTAATTAATAGCAACCTAAGGGTTGAGTTGTGGAACACTCGGGTGCAAAGGACAATCAAACGGACAATTTAACTGATGTATAATCAAAGCCTTTTAATGTCATGCCCCGGGGTTCCGCCGGAACCGTTCCGGTTGACTCCCCGTTTCATCCGACCGTGCGCCCGAGGGAGCTTCCAAGCTCCCGTATTAGATCACGCCGGAAAGCCCTCGTCGGGGCTTACACACCACCCCGTGTTCGGTCTCCGGATCCCACACACTGTGCAAGCAAAATCGCGAGAGCGCACAGTCCGCCGCCACCAACCACATTTCCTTTTATGGCAGTCCACTCACGGCCACCCAGATCCATTCATGACCACTCACTTCAACCCCTCGAACGGACACTGGCCCCCTCGGTGTGGCTGTCCGACGTCCATAGTACTTTATCAGGCACGTCAACCTTTTAGAGGTGGCCACCCAGATCCGTTAATAGCTGACAGAGGTTAATTTCCGTTAATTTTCCATTAATTAACGGAAAATAACGAAAAAAGACAAAAGTTAACCAAAAATTAGCGGATTTTTGGATTTTTTGGGGATTTTTGGGTTTTAGTCATACTTATAGTTTATGGAATTCGCTATTAGAGAGTATGTTTGTATTTTATTTCAACCTATGCATACTAGATTTTCAACTAGCCGCAGTTGTTGTGATTTTTTGGGGTTTTTTTCAATTTTTTTGGATTTTTTTCGTTTTTCTGAATTTTTCTCCCTTTTTCTTTAACGAAATTTAACGGACAGCTGATAAAAATTAACGAACCGGATTTAACGGACCGGATGGCACCCTTGAATGGCCACCTCTACAACCTTCCCCCCGCCCTCGTGACAATTCCGCGCAACCTGACTGCGCCTCCCCCCCCCGAGGTGCACCCCGGCTCCTACCCGCTGCGCCCGCGCCTCTCCCCGCTCGCCGCTCGTTCACCGGCCGCCGCGCCGGCTCAGAACTCCACGGGCTCCTCCTTCACAGAGGGCCCCGCCACCTCCTCCCATTCCTCGCCGATCGCGCTGGTGGCATCGGCCTCCTTGGCGCTGTCCATCCCACCGCCCTCGTCCTCATCCATCTTGCTGCCCGACACATTTCCTCGCCGCTCCTCCATCAGCGCATCCTCTTCCCCTGCAATGGCGGCTTCACACTCCAGCTCCACGCATGCCACAATCGAGCCAATACCCGTGCTCCCGTCACCATCCATTCCAACACCATTTCGCACATCCGAACCGCCCCCGCTCACCGCGCCTCTCGGTCTCTCCAGCGGGATCATCGCGTGCAGCACCGCGTCATCCACAGGCGGCCGCCCCGCCCCGCCTCCACAGTGTGGAGTCCACACCTCGCAAGTGTGGCTTTGAGGCCGCGCATCGCCTCGCGCGCGGCCTTTGCGGCGGCCTCCAGCTCCGCCACTCCCCCGCCGCTTTCACTGCCCGGATGGCACAGTGCGGCATTCGCTGCCGCTCGCACCTCGCGCGCACCTCTCTCTGCCACGCGCCGCGCCCTCCGCCTGGCCTGCGCATCTCCTCCGAGCAGTAGGGGAGCTCCTCAGCGCGTCCTCGGGGGCGCGCCTCCACGCGAAGTCTATGCCGCCCGACTCGTCAGCCCCGGGCCCGCCGTACGGCCCGCCGGCACACCGAGGGGGGTCAGGAGACGTACAACCGTCTCCTGGTATGGCCGCCCCCCTTGGATGACCGGCATGGTCGACTCCACCCTGTGTAAGGCAGGGTACTGGCAGGCCCCCGAGAGAGGGAGCCACTCATCGGGGCCCCACTCCTCGAAGGGCTTCTGCAAGACCGCTGCCCACGCGGTGGCGGAGGGTCGGAGGGCCATGGCCAGAATCACCGGCCAGACTCCCCACACACCCTAAGTACTGTCCGCCAAATTAAAATGTAACCACTCCAAGATATAATACTTATTCAGTACTGTACCCAAGTACCCCACAAACGGGACTTTTCAGCTCCTTCTTCAGGAGCTGTTTGGTGGTGAGTAAGTCCCTTTTTCAGGGACCAAACGTTCACCACTCCCAAACAAATGCAATATATGCTTTTTTAGCATGTCTTGCCTCAAACTATTCTCAAAATCAGCTCAGAAAATGCAGTTTCTTCTCCAGAAACTGCCCTACACCTTCCCACAATCCCACAACTCCTTTTTCAGGAGCTGTTTGATGATTGCACACATCCCTTTTGTAGGGATTCAGTCGTGCACCGGTGGCAATCCGGAACAAAACATGCTTCTTCAGCATGTTCCCTTAACCACATTCTGAACTTCAATTTCTTGTTCAGAAACTGATTCTATAGTTCTGCATAATCTCACAGCTCCTTATAGAGGAGCAAACCCACTTTTTCAGCTGTGAACAACAACCATATCATTCCAATTTCCAGGGCAGCGCCACTTTTACAGCGGCAGCTGCGCACTACCACTTTTGCAGCGGTAAGCATCAACCAAGAGTATCCAATCTCATTGTCTGTACCACTTTTTCAGTGGCAGCCAGTTTCTACCACTTATTCAGTGATATTCAGCAAACAAAGCTGTCCTCTTCCAATGACAGTGCCACTTTTGCAGTGGCAAATAAACTTCAGCCACTTCTCCAGTGGCAAGTACACTTTTCATTAGGTCATACACGCGAAAAGGATGCATGAGCTGGAAAGAAACATCAGCTCAGTGCCATGCCGGGGAAAGAGACATCCCGGCATGTTCCTTGAGGCGCATGCCTGAAAAACAGTCGACTAGGGGCACAGCCCCACAAATGCACTTCTGTGCCGCCCTATGGCTGGGAAAGGATGCCAACCAACGGGATACACTCTTATACACGGCCAGGCCAACCATGGGCACTCTGACCGGTCCAAGGCTCCTTGTTCAGGAGTTTTCACACCTTTGTCACTTGTTCAACGACATTTTTACAGTTTCTCTGCTCCTGTCACTTTTTCAGCGACACTCAGAGCTGTCACTTATTCAGCGACAAAATCAGCATTTGGGACAATCAAAGAACAGGCAGGCTGGGCAACACACCAGCGCAGCCCCATGTTGAGGCAAGACACTTCCCAAGTTTTTTTGAGCCCAAATGACCAAAGAATACGGTCCAGAACACAGTTCTAGGACCGTTAGTTCAGATCCTACCCATAGCTGGAAAGGGACATCAGCATATGGGATTGAATCTGGACCAAAGTGATGTGATGAAACGGCCAGCAGCACAGCTAGCACGTGTGTTTTCTCCACAGCAATATTGCAGCTGCGGGTGACTGATGAATAAGTGAACACATGCAACCTTAGTATGGGGTAATCCACCCTGGAAAGAGCCATCGGGTGTGGGCCCAAACTTTCGGTCATGCATGGTTCTTCTCTAGCCTTTTTCAGGCCAGTAACCTCGTAGCCTTGCGCATTTGGCTTTGAGGCTGGACACACGCCCAAACTGGGCGGTATCCTTATTCAGGACACATAGCCCCACCAGATATCGAGAGCCGCGGTCAATACCGGTGAGGCAGCTTTCACTGAAATACTCTTGCAGCGTAGGGTGTCCCTCAGTCGTCACCAAGCGCCCCTTGAGGCATAATTCCTCTCAACTTTCATGGCCAGCTTGCTGTATTACCAAAATTGCAAGCCCTTAACCAGTTTTTTTTTGTTTTTGCTTTTTTCTCTTTCTAACCGGTGGTGGCATACTCGGGCCATCCCACACAGTCAGCGCGCGTGTCAGACGTGAGCCCCTCGCCAGCTGAATCATAAGTGACTCGCCCTGTGAAACGGTGGTCATTATGCAGCTGCGCGAACACGCCCTTAGCTGCGACTCAAAGGGGCGCCACCCACAGCTTAGCAGCTATTTTCGGGTACCCACATCAGCGCACCCCCTCCGCGAAGCCGCTCGGGGGCAGGCTCGGCGATGTGGCAGAAGAACGCGTACCTGAAGAAGACGCGGCAGGGGAACGTCGTGAAGGTGTGACCGCGCTCCAGACCTCAGCCCTGCGCTGGCCAGTGCAAGGCCCTGGCGATGTCTGGGCCCCCGCGCCCGCGGGGGCTCCATCAAGGCGCCCCGCCCAGAGGGACACCAGTCAACATTTAGCATTGGTTTTGACGGCGTGCGCAAAAGCGAGAAACCGCTCCCCTTTGCCTGCTGGGTGGGATGCTATCGGCGGCGGAGCGCCTGGCGAAGTGGCCGCGCGGTTGTTGCGACCCCGTTGTCACTTCTTGGCGCATTACTTGAAGCGGACGAGCGTCTGGATGGCGTCCGCCGGGCCGAGGCCCAGCCGGCGTGATGGCGCCGAATGGGAGATTCTGTGGCCGTTCGCAAGCTGGAACTGAGTTCGAGAGATGTAGCGCCTGATTTGCAGTGTCGGGCAGCTCATCGCTGGCTAAGGCTCGTGCAGCCGTGCCGCAGCTGAGAATGTCCTTCCCTTATCCTTCCCTTGTCAGTCTGACCAAACTTCCGTTGTCGAATCATCTGATTCAGATGCATTGTGCCTGGTTGCTTCCTCCCTGCGGATATGCCGTTCTCCCGCTGCTGTAAATTGTGGCTTCCTCATCAGTGCGACTCCCAGTTCAAATTGGGGTTGTTGCGGTTTCTTCAGGTGGTCAGGGAGCACTACTTGCGCGATGACATACCGTGAGTCATGCTGAAGTGTGGAATCACATGCTGCGGTGACTGAAACAATAAATTTGTATCAACATTCAGCAGATTGATAGAAATGGCTGGTGATGAGCTGATTGATTGTGTCTGCATTTATCGAATTGACATAGGGCTGACAGGCAGTGCCGCTCGGCTCAACCAAAGGCATTGCAGGGCCACAAGAAGGAAACGATTTGTTTGATTTGTCCCATTCTTCACAATAGAACTTCACAATTCCTACTGCACAAAAATTATTGCTGACACTGCCGGTTTTCCTTACAACTTGATTCCCAATCGAGTTCAGATGTTGTCCTGCTGATTCTCCATCTGTTGTAATAATGTTTGCGACGATTCTGTCGATGGCACAGGAGTGGCACACCGCTCGACCCACAGTGCAGCCCTTCCGATGCAAAACTGAGTGCAGATGCTAGGCACTATCTGGTGGTGGACACAAATGTTGTGCTGAAGGCTGTGAGTGCTTGTCACGATGGAAGGCTGATCATTGTTGAGAACTCCAGCTGCAGACATACAGTTTATTGTCTGGACCCCGTTCTTCTCATTCATTTGTGCCCTCTGATTCCACAGGTTTCCAGTTTCTCTGTCGTTCTGGCGATGTGCCAACAACATGGGAAGCCAGTGTTCAGAACCATGCACCTGTTTGGTACCTTTGCTGAAAATCCCAAGTGATAAACTCACCCTTGGACATAGTACCATAGATCACGGAGGATAGCACCCGCCCAGCGTTGACCATCAGGGCTGGTGTCAAGAACGCAGGGGGAGCACTACCATGCGTGCCGCCACACTATCTTGCATAAGCCCTACATTCCGCATCACTTGGGGTGATCGCTACACCCCCCGCGTTGCCACATTGACCACCAAACAAATTTGACACCTTCAGTACCAGTCTAAATAGGACTCCTATCACAGTAAACTGGAGGGACGCCACCATCACATTTTTGTACTCCAGGCACTAAGCAAGCAGAGTTGCAGATCTTTTGGGTAGTGACGATGTTTCACTCATGGAGCCAGACACCCCCGCTATAACCCTCGCGCTTTGCAGTGCTGGCCATGTACGATTGCGTAGGGGCATTATCTAAGGGCACCCACTGTATTCAGCACCCCCTTTGCTATCCTCCGTGACCTACGGTACACACCTAGGTGCAAAGTTGGCCAAAAGTACTGCATGTCATTTCACCAGCAGGGCTTTGTGTTGTCTTCTGTGGCCTGCACATTGGATGTAGCAAGCTGGCCTGTGACCAGCTTCAGGGAACAATTGTTGTTTTGTGGCTTGCAAGATGAACAGAGTGCAGCGTGTCAATGGAGTTGCTCGTGTGTGAGCTTCTTTCTGCCTTGTAGTGTTTACCTTTGTCCTCCCACCCATCACCTGCGGGTTTGGCAATCCCTCCCTTTCTGGATGTTGGCATTCTATTTTGCCCTATGTGACATGTGCTGTTCTGCGGCTTTACTTGCAGACCGACTTCCTTGAGCACAGTTCCATTGATGACGTCATTGTGCCATCGATCGTCCTACAAGAGGTACGCATGCTTTGCTGTAGGCGCACTGCGATTCAGAACAGCTGTGACCTTTTGTGTTGATGACTACTGACAACAAGTTGTTATGAATTTTTTGAGCGCTGATAGCAGCACATTGGATTGTGTGCTAAAATGCGCTACAATCTGGGAGTCTCATGTATTTCATGCTCGCATGGTTGTGAATGATGCACTGCAGCCAGCATTTGCTGACCTCAATGTTGCTGTGATTTTTGACTTGGATATTCCAATTGGCAGTGGATACTACAGAGGTTCTGAAAATGTGAATTGAGATGCAGTTCATTTTCCAAAATGGATCAAGTGGAGCTGCCTATAATGCATTAACTGCAGATTATCAAAGTTATGTTCGGGGATTGAATGTTGTGTATCCTTGCAGGCATTTCGAGAAACTACACTCTGGTCATTGTGTGTGTCCTTCTAAGTTCAGATGATCTGTCAGCACTAGCTGGCTGGTGGCCTACAAGGACTTGCAGAACTTCTCAACAGGACACCCATGTCCTCAATGTGTTTGAGAGCATCAATAAACAATAGTGTGTTGTTGTGGTCGCTTGCAGGCAAAGTCAAGGAACTTGAGTGCATACCACAGAATCCGTGCACTGGCTGCAGATCCACAGCGTCGATTCTACGTGTTTGCAAATGAAAATCACAGGCAAGTTGCCTTCTGTTATGGTGGATGGTTGAAGTTCAATCTCAAAAGAGACATTGTGTCAATGTATTGATGTCTTTGTGTGCAGCTCCATGAAAAGAACCCGGTCTGGATGTCGCGCAGGATGTCACGCAGGTTGTAGGAGCACCGATGCAAATGCGTATTATGCAGGCAGCAAAGCACTGGCTGTCCATTCAGTCAACTTTGAGTTTGGTTCCTACAGGGACACTTATGTGAAGCAGAAGGATGGAGAGCTAATCAACGACAGAAATGATCGAGCAATAAGGGCGGTTGTGTCATGGTGAGAGTGGAAACTGCCAACCCCTACATGGCATGCCAGCAAATGGCAGGGCGTGCCATGCGCTTGTAATTGTCTTTGTCACTTTCATGTGTCAGCCCAGTCTCCTGGCTGTGTCTGACAGACATGCCCAGTGTGTGGCCTCTTTGCGACAGTCAAAGTGCGAATTGCATGGAGCAGGGATGGCAATTGTTTGGACTGCTGTCCCTCTGTGGCGCTCACTGCCAGTGTGCTCTGCAGCATTTGGCATGAAACGAACGTTGTATGAAGGGGCAGTGTATCCCTTCCCAAAGGGGTGTCGCCTGGTGCCACGATTGCTGCCCCAGTATGTTTGGCTCACGGGCTGTGTTGGGGACGCCTCTGTTGGTGGTTGGCAAGGCACCTACACTTTGTCCCTTAACCAACCTGTAGATGCTGGCCATGCCATCAGGGAGCTTTGCCACAAATGACAAAAGATCAGGATAAAACTGCAATTTCCCTGGTTGGAAAAAGGGGAATCCTGAGGCATACCTTGCTTCTGTTTGCAATGGAATGAGGGACAACAATGTGCACAAGCTACTTTCTTTGTAACGAAACCAGGTACAAACAGCTGCTCGGTGACAAGATGCAGGTAATCTTGCTGAGTGGCGATCGAGAGAACCGTCGACTGGCAAGGGAGGAGTGTGGTGCACAGGCCTGCAGTGTGCAGGAGTATGCGAGAATGCGGACAGACGACAAGGAGCTCTTGGATCTGGCAGCACATTGGGGACAGCAAGGTAAGCTGACTCTCACCCACCTGACCCTAGACACCCCAACATTATGTGCACCTGCAGGTGAGTAGCAGCTTCACAATGCTTACAGTCTATGTGCAGAGCCTTCCCAAAACTATGGGATGGGCAACTTTTAGCAGGGGAGAGCCAGGCGCGCACAACTTCCATTTCCAACATCTGTTATGGATGCAGGCTGGACAATTTTGGCCCTGTTTAGGGATGAGACTCTAGCTTGCAGGCACATAGTTTGTTTGCTGACACAGGGGCAAGACATGTTGCCATTTGAGCCTCAATGTTATGTGATTGACAACAACAGCAGCAACACCAATAAGGCACTTGCACTTACTGATGGGGGTGGCACAAGCCCCATATCTCTTTTGTCAGGATGTAGGTAGCATCAAGATCCCAAAATGCAGAACATAAGTAGAAACCAAACAGTTAATCACTCCCCAGAGGATCGTTGAATATTTGTGACAGGAACATCAAGAGCGAATTCTTTTGTGAACGATGCATGTTTTGCCTCTCTTGTTTTGGAGCCACCAATATTTCAGCAATTGCAGTAGGGAAAATGACAGAATGGGGTCCAGGATTTCGTGAGAAGCAGGGATCCTGAAAGACAAAATGGGGTTCCTCTGCACGGATTTAAATGGCAAGAGGGGGTCCTCTGAGCGCACGCCATATATTAGGTTCGTCACCTGTCTGTCACCAGTCTGGTGCTGGGTGTAGGATGCACGATGGTTGCTCACAGTTCAAACGACAAAAGGGGGTCCTCTGAGGGTCTGCAAGAGGGCACAGTACACCACCATACACCCTACACCCGGCACCACATTAGTAGCAGTCTGGTGAAGCAGCTAATGGGTAGTGGGCGATCAGAAGACCCCTTTTGTCATTTCAACCCCTGCAGAAGACCCCCTTTGTCTCGAAATCCTGGAAAGGAGCCCCGTTCATTATGTTGCACACTGAAGTATTTTATAACAGGTTAGCAACTGGAAGAAACATGGCTGACCAAGTTGTGCCTCACAAAATACCTCTGCAGAAGTATCCACACAGGGGACACATTGTTCTGTTGGTACTTAAAGTCGCTGATGTGGTGCGTGACCTTTACGTTGCCACAAATGGAACATCAGGGGCATAGTATCAGTTCAGTAGTTGTGTTCAGGTAGTTGAACTCCACCTTCGAAAAAGATTTCTCGTGCATTGATACAAACAGCTGTTGGAGAGCCATGCTGTTGTGCTTACAGTTTAGTATATTGCTCACAGGATCAACATTGCAGTAACCGAGGTACAGTATGCACCCCCTTTATGTGTGCCTTTGCTGCTGGTGTCTTCCTGTCTTTTCCAAAGTGTCAAAAAGGTTTAATGTGTGTTGGCACATCTGTTTTGGTTGCAACCATCAAGCCACTGCTCAGGCGAAACCCTTGTATTGGCCAATAGAATTTGACGAGGATGATGAGTCTGAGGGAAAGAGCAAGAAGCGTAGGCGAATTTATGAGGACCACAGGCCATTGTCATCTTTGACTCAAGGCATCAAGAATGGTACACTGCATCAGGGTGTCCTGAACGTGAGCCGCTACTGCTGGCATGAGGGCTTTGTGCCATCCAGCATTGGCCAAGAAATTCGCATTGAAGATGTCAACAGGATGAACCGTGCAATGGCAGGTAAGTAGACGATGGACCACTGCTGCCTCTGAATATAATCGGTGACTTGCGTGCTGATGAAGTCCTTGGATTGCCCGCTCTCAATGGCACATGACAGAACAAAGCCGCTGCGTCTAGCAGGCAATGACAGGCGTTGCAGCATCCACCAACTCTTTGTTTATGCCCTGCCAAAGCCTTGTTCCACCCATTGTCCATTTGCATACAGGTGGCTTGCATGCATCAATTGCATTGCATTGCATTGTCACACGTGCATGGCAACCAAAGCCCATGTGCCTGCCAGGCAATGACAGGCATAGCAGTGTTCAGCTTGTGTTCTCCTGTACCCCACTGTCCTAGTTGCACACGATGCCTAAAGAGTGCATGCCAACTGCAGTTGCTGGTCAGTTGCGCTTGGTGGTTAGTGGTGTGGGTTGCATTTCTTGCCTCTGTGGATGCAAGATCAATGAGAGAGGTAAAGAAACTAGACACAGAGCACACTGTGGCAGAAGCCTGCTGCAGTTGGATTCGATATTGCCATGTCTGTTGCGTAGTTTGTGTCGACTATCATTTGAAAATGAAAGGACCTCTGATGTTGCGAGCAAGGCCGTGAATCGCAAAGTCTCTAAATCAAAGACATTGGTTTTATGAGCAGCTTGTGGCAATCTGCAATGGATGGACAGATTGCCCATCATCGCTCAGTAGGTAGAACCTAGGTTCGATCTCCCAACAGTGAATGCACTAAAAGGGGTTGCATGTGCGGTTGTGCAGGTGACGTAGTTGTGGTGGAGATAGTTCCTGACAATGTTGCTAGCCGGAGTGGCAGCCGTCCAGGTGCTGCTTATGGTCCAGATGCTGATGAGGAAGATGATGGTTACGATGTGGGGGACGAAACTACAGGCTTGGAGGCCTCTGCAGTCCATGGGGTAATTATCAGCTTGTGTGTCCCTATGCTCAATCGAATTTGTGGCTTTTTTGTAGCATGTCTCCAACGAGTCTTTGTTGTTTTGATCGAATGTTCAAAACTGTGGGAATTTCAATTGCTATGGATGACAAGGCAAAGCAACAACGATAACAGTCATAGGATGCTGCAGAACAGGGCGTTTGTCAGTCGCTCACTGGACCCAAACACAAGAAAAGAAGCCCAAACGCACAAAACTAGCCTGTTGAGCGCATTTGCTGTGTTGGCAGAGCACTGTGCATTCAATTGACGATGCAGTGGCTGAGGCCCATGTGACCTGCATTCTGGAGGTTTTTCTGTTAGTTTAGCTTTGTTGAGTGAGAAACAAGGGCTAACAGTGTATTTGGGCTTGCTGTGCTGCAATGGGACACATGGTTATGCTGCAAGAGCCCTCCATACGGACCTGAATTCTGCCTCCATTGTGGATTAGCCTGATTGCCTTTGATGCATTGCCTGTAGCATGTGATTGGCAAGTGGAGGTGGTGGGACCTTAGAGAGTGCTTGGTGTGCCCCCTTTGGGTGAGTGGCTGCACGGCACACTGCTGTGTTGTAATGCTGTGCTTGGCTTGTAGAGGCAGCAATGCACGGTCTTATGCATAGTTGTTTCATTTGTTGTCCTCAGGTTGACGATGCGATCTGCCTGCAAGGCCCTCAAGATGACGATTCATCAACAAAGCCGCCGTCTGGCCAGGTGGTAGGCATCATAAAACGCGCTTGGCGAACTCGGGGCTACTGTGGGACGATCATGCCGCCGCGCGACGGCAAGGATTTCGTGCCTGGGCGCGCCAGGTGTGTGCTCACAGGGCGACTAGCGGCACTTTGCACTTGCTGCAAGTAGCTTGTCAACGGTTGTCATTTGTAATGGAACGCCGGCCGCGGGCTGCTGCATGAAGACATGGGAAAGAAGCCGTGGTGGGGTCTTGAGAGTTTTCGTTACAGCAAGCAACAAATTTCTGTTTACCATACGATTTCTGATCTGTATGGCCTCCCCGTTAAGTGCTAAATTCGTTGTCGTTCAGATTGCCATGCACCGTATATCATCAGTCTTTGCGCTTTACACTGCTCTGCACTTTCTTGCGAGGAGGCCCAAGGCCTGTATGTCCGTTGTTTGGATTGCAGTGGTACCAAGAGTCAAATTCGATTTGTGCGGCATTTCAGATCTAAGGAAATGGTGTCATGTTGGCGCGTCCCTGCTGTGTGCGCACTGACAGTACTTTGAACCTTTCGCGGTGGAATGGGAACGATACAAATGGGTGACTATATTTGTTTGTGCCCCCTGTGCGGTCCAACAGACGGAAGGACAGCGCCTTGTCATGCTCTGGCAATTGTGTTCAAATCAGAGTATCGTTTCTATCCATTGACAGAGGGATCACATGAAGCACAGGGAACTTTGCACATAAAGATTATTCTTTCTGCACCAATTTAAATTGCCTGAATTGTCTGCACTCCCCAGGTGGGTCAGATTTCGTCCAAAGGACCGCCGATTCCCGCACATGATGATGCGCACTGCGCAGGCCGACCAGCTGCTTGGCAAGAACATTGTTGCAGTGGTTGAAGAGTGGCAGTCGCACAGGCGACTGCCCGACTGCCGGTATGTGAGGACGATCGGGACCGTGGGAGACACAGAGGCTGAGACGGTGAGATGTGTTTTGCATTCGATTTGTCTTTCTTTGTATAGTAAAATTTTTGCTTTTTATTGTTTGTGTTTCTTTTGTTGCCCGTTGGCCTCCGGTTGGGCGAACAGCTGGTGCCTTCGGGGACAAGATGGTCTGACTTGCGGACACGTTTGGAAAAGTACATCATAATTGTATTCAAGTGATGTTTGGCATACTACACCTCCATATGTCGTTTTTGATACCAGAGGCAACAAGTTTGTCGAGCTGCCTGCCAATGTTTACCGTAGTATATTCAACCCTTTCGCATCATAAGGAAAGACACTATGTCCTTTTTGTTACGCTTGGCATCCATTTGACATTATGTGGTTGGGGTTGGGGTTGGGGGGTTCCAGACCTGTGACGCTAAGAGATGATGTGATTGCAACAAAATCGACATAAGGTGGAAAGATGACTGAAAACGCTGCTGATCAGCGGCAAAACTCTCGTGACTTGTTCCTAAACCTCCCTGAGATGTTTAGTCTTCAAGGGAGTGCTTAGGATGTGTCAATTTATAGCCATTGAGGTTGCCGGGCTTGCCTATAATGACATTTGTAATCCCATTTTCAGCCCACCAAAATTTGTACGACTCTGAGCGTTTTCTCTTTTCAAAACCAGCTAGAAATTGTAAGCCACTGCTAGGCAATGTTGTTGAGTCATCCTGGCTTCGACATAAGGATTGACGCTGAAGGGCCGGGGGGAAGGTCTGAGCTTAACGTCAAATTGACGCTAAGCGTAACAAAATCGACATAGCACCTTCCCTAACATAACGCTGGGCCTTTTTTGCGTAGTAAACAATAAAATAAATAACGCTCTTTTATAAAAAGTTTTGTGGAACAACGCAAAATAAACAAAAATAATGCTCTGAAAAACTGTGCAGAGCAAAATGCGTAAATGATCAAGTTGACTGATATGGAAAGGTTGAATATACTGCGGTAAATTCTTGTGCTGGTGGCGGATCTGCCTGCCAGGCTTTCGTGTGAGATCAATGGCCTCCTGTTCACTCTTGCCAGAAGCTCAAGGGGCTTTGCCTCCGCATTTCCTGACATCTTTGCTTTTGTCCGCCATCTTCTCGTGAATACAAAGGCAGCGATATGCCCATGCAATGATAAGTGTAGTTGGGTAAGGCCATGTACTCGTTCATGTAGATCTGCAATTGTGTGCTGTTGCCACACAGTGAGAGAACAATGAGCGCAAGCCAGAGTGCACATGTTGCTTGGACATGTGCCAATAAACCACACAGTTTCAGATGGTTCCCATCCACACCAGTGTAATGGCAACCTGCTGTCACACAGCTGCCTGTGCCACTTTGCAAATCTGAGTGCTGGCAATCTTCATGCTAACGTTCGTCAGCATCATCGTTGGTTGCAATTCTCTAAGTGGCCGATGGGTTAGTACGGTTGTTTGGCATTTCAAGTGACACAAGGAGGACTCGATTTGTAAGTCTATATCTCTCTGTCTCTTAGCACTTGTACTTGCTTTCTTGCTGTGTATTGTGATCTGGGTGCTTGACTCCCTGAAGACAGAGAGCAGACATTTGCGCAAACACACTGCTGGAGTCGAAGCACATGTGCTGTCTGTTGTAGTTGCCCTGCAACGTGATAGACGCAAAGCAGCCACTGCAGTGCCACAGGTGGCTTCAGTTGTGCAATTCAACGCAAGCGCAAGTTCGCCTACATTTGGGAATTTTGCAACATAAAAGGCATGTCACAGTGGTCTTCAACTTGGGACTTGCACCAGACTTCGATTCTGCACCAGACTTCGATTCTGCAGAGCGAACTCAAACTGACCTCCACGAGTTCATTGAATCATCAGTTTCAAGTAAAACATTGACTTCACAATCGAATCAGTAGTACAAGCATAAAGTTCAAAGTGATGTTCTAAGCTCACGGCCTGTGAGTGAATTGCCCATGTGCCAGGATGTGCTCCTGATGGAGAATGATATTGCCACATCGCCCTTCACGCCTGAGGTCCTGGCCTGCCTGCCTCCCTTGCCATGGGACGTGGGGCCTGCGGATGTTGCCGATCCCCACCGCAGGGACTTGCGCCACCTTTGTGTCTGCAGCGTGGACCCCCCTGGCTGTAAAGACATCGACGATGCACTACATGTTCGTCTCCTCCCAAACGGCAACTATGAGCTGGGGGTGCACATCGCAGATGTCACGCATTTTGTGAAGCCAGGTTTGTCTCGATGATACATGCAATGCATTTCATACCCTTTGTGCAAAGAGGTTGTTTCAGTTATGTGACGTGCTTCATCCAGCCTGAAGGGTGTTGTGTCCATGGAAGCCAGCAAGTGGGGCACAAGGTTAGGCCGAAATTCCGTTGCCCTTGCCTACCCAAGGAGAGAAGGAAGATGGCACACTGACGGCCTCATGGCCTGAAGCCAGGCCTGTCGAAATGGATAACTTGTCAATTGGAGCGTTTTTATTGCAGGAGAATGGCTTGTTGTGGATGGGGCAATTTGAATGCAATTGGTGCTGAACACTGAGGCGGCACCAACTTTATGCAAACTGAATACCCCTGAGATTTGGTGGCTAATGCATTCAGAGGTCGGCTGTGCCAATGCTGCAACTTTGAGGTGCTGCGATCCCTGCCATTAACGACACTATGCTGACAGGCTTACTGTGGCAGTGTCAACTTGCTGAAGAGGTTCTTCTTTGTTAGATTGTGCTCCTTTGGTAATTGGGCCTCGCAACAGGCCCGAACAGGGTTGTCCACTGAATGCAAAAAAGGCCAGGGCCCACTGGCTTGCCGGTCAAGTCTTTACCTTCTCAAGGTGATGAACAATGACACACTTGTCGTAGTGTCTTCCAAAAAGTTAGGATGATCATACACCATCAGTTTGCTAGCGGTCTACAAGGACCTCACATTGCTTGCCAAACTGATGCAGAGGTGCCCACCAGCACATGAATGAATCACACACCCTAACTAAGACGTTGCCAGCCACATCCAGCGTCATTTTTCTTGTCTCATTATCAGAATGCAATGCAGTGTGACGTTGGTCTACTTGCTTCCAGAGACTGCGCTGGATACAGAGGCCGCACAAAGGGGCACCACCGTGTACCTGGTTCAAAGGAGGATTGACATGCTGCCAAAGGCGCTTACTGAGGACATATGCAGCTTGCGTGGCAACGTGGACAGGCTGGCGTTCAGCGTGCTTTGGGAGGCGACGCTTGAAGGGGATGTGCTCCACGACAAGACCACATTTACAAAGAGCATTATCAGGCAAGGGAAAGGAGACCAGGGTGGGTCTTGGGGAGAGGTGAACAGTAACGTACGTTAGATGTTTAATCTCTTCAACAGAGTATGTTGGTGCCTTCCAAGAGACATTTGCGCCAGTGCCTTACATACATGTTACTCTCTTCTGTTGAATGCTTTTTGTTGAGCGAATTTTCGCTTCTTAGTGTAATTTGCTGTATTTTGTGTAGCAGGCTTGGAGTGCTGATTTCCAGCTTGTTGCGCGCCGCAGCACTGCCTTGATTATCTTTTGGGTAGCGGTTTCTTCTTTACCTTTTGTTCAAAAAGTTCCTTGGGATCAATGGAATTGGACTGGGCTTTGAAAGCGAATCTCACTTTGTCGCTGGTGATGTCCTGCCTGAAGGAGCCGGGCTGCACTGACTTATGAAGAGGCACAAACGCGGATCGATGACGATCGCCTGACGGACGACGTTTCCATGAGCCTCAAGGCTCTGGCTCGATTTGGACAAATATTGCGCAAGAGGCGGATGGAGAAGGGCGCCCTGGAGCTGGCAAGTCCCGAGGTGAAGCTGTCAATCGACACTGAGAGTCTGAACCCGACGGACATCGGGCTGTCTCAGGTAAGAAGTGGTCATGACGCTTTCAAGCGCGTCTCTTGGCAATTATCAGCATGAGGATGACATTGGCTGTGGAGCTACGGAGGCTATTGCAATGTCGTGATTTCCGTTCCGCATGTTACCTTTCCGCTCGTTCAACACTGCACATATGCTGCACATGTGGGCAGCAACCTGTTGTTGTGCTCATTGCTGCAACACGCGCTTGAAGGAAGCACGCATGCATATGAATTTGTGTCACGCCACGTGAGGTGGCATGCAGTGGTTCCCCACAGTCCCAGTGACCCAAACCGCGAAGCACCGTGCCAGCAGATTAGCCACAAGCAGGTGCCATTTGTGTGCATTGTGCAGCACAACCGACCATACAGATGGCCCACATTTCGTTCAGAGGTTGACTGGCATGTGGAATTCCGCCCGCGCGAGCAGCGCCACATGTGCTACTGTGTGTGTAAAGTGTTTATGGATCACACTGGGATCCAAATGTTCATGACTCATGCCTTCGTGCGCAGTCGCTGTGGTGACCTCTCCACCGTTCCTCTTTGGCGGCATTCCGTGGGCCGAGGAATTTCTGTTTGCTGCTTTCTGCCTCCTTATCAGTTTGCTTTTTCGTTTCCTGATCTGTACACGCCCAGCGCATTGTAGATATCAGTTGAATATTGCTTATTCGTTATTGGTGTTGAACCTCTGTATTCTGAAGAACGATAACAAAAACAACAACAAGAACGCATTCACTGACTCTGTTCAGGCTGCTGTGGAACTCTGCATCAGTGGCTGCAGAGCGCGAGAAAGTGCATCCAGTTGATGAATTGTATGCTTGTGACTATTGGAATTGCATGTCGCAAATCCTTACACGGCTTGCGACAATTCAACGCCTCCCTGACGGCACCTCGTCCTCACGTGGCCCGTGTGTCAAGGTCCGGCTGGCCAACAAGATGGTGGAGGAGATGATGCTCCTCGCGAACAGCACCGTGGCGGAAAAGATCCTGAGTCGCTTTCCCTCCAGCGCCTGCCTGAGGCGTCACCCTGCGGCCCCCAGATCCAAGTACGAGCCCCTGCTGAAGGCCCTTGAGCCCCACGGCGTCAGCCTTGACGTGACATCAAACAAGCGCCTTGCCGAGACGCTGGACGGGGCTGTGCTGCCAGGCGATCCGTTTTTCAACACTATCGTTCGAATGATGGCCACACGGTGCATGAACGAGGTGAGCTCACTTGTTGTGGTGCTGGTAACTTGGTACACGCTATGTGCACAATTGGCTACGTGACCACATTCACCACCCCAAAGGTGTGCGACGGGCTGTGACAGTTGCAGTTGCCCATCGCCGATAAACCACCAAATGACCAGGTGACCGCCTTTCTCCAGGAATGAATTAGGATGAATTACGTACTAGCGTTCCTCGTTTCGTGGGTACTGGACCGATTGGTTCGATCAGTCGGGGATTGGCGGCGGCGGGAGGCGAGAGCACAGGGAAGCAAATTTTGGCCTTGGCGGGGGAGTTGCTCGGGGGTGCTTCAGCTTGGGCATATGGCTAAT